TGTGTGTGTGTGTGTGTGTGTGTGTGTGTGTGTGTGTGTGTGTGTGTGTGTGTGTGTGTGTGTGAGATCAACAACATATCTGCTATTTTACCACTGTTTTTACTCTGCAGGCAACCCTAATTGGAGGATTCATGTTGAAGATCAAAACAACAAAACCAGTCTGGATGATGGAGTAAAGATCAAAATTTCTACACTTACTGTAGTTCTCTATGTTCTTGGTGGTGTTCTTGTTCTTGTTCTTGTTTTTCTTGGTGTTATTTGTTTTAAACAGCACCAGAATTCAAATAGCCTCCTTCTGAACCATAGGCTGAACAAGTCCTAACGGTTTCGGTCATGGAGTAATTATTTATGTCTGTGCCACCTTGACACTGTCCACTGCTCACATCTTATGATAACTTGTCGGCTCTTAATCTGTTTGTTCCAGACGTCAGGACTCCAGCATCGGACTTGTTACATATAACATATCGCAACTCTCTTGTTGCGATATGTTAACTCTTTGAGCTGAGAGCTGTCATTGGCTGATAGTAACATGAGGTGGATTGTGATTGGTTGTAAACTGTTACATGGTGTTAACATGTTGTTATATCATTGGTTTGCAATCTGATGACAGTGGCTTCAATTCGACAGACTTCCATGATTGTTTTCTGTTCTTGTTCTTTTTTTCTTTCCTTTTTTTTTTTTTTTTTACATTTTTAACATTTTTTTTATTAGAATCAAAATGAAGAACAATGTAAAATAGAGTACAGTAAAACATTTGCCAGGGGGTTAGGTTACAAGCTTTGAGACAATTTTAAAATACTTTCGTATTTATAGTAATGTTATTAAAACCTGTGCATTATGTGATCTTTTTCAAGTCTTTGTGTAATGTTTTCTGTTCATTGTCGCCCAGAATTAAATTGTGCCATTGGCCTACTTTAAATGTCTGTGAGGTCTTGTTTTTCCTTTTTTATTTCTGAACCAGCGGTGTCTTTTTACATGGGCCATATAAGAGCCCCTGATCTCAGCCTTTTTGTCAGTTTGCACCATGAACAGGTTTTCTGTTGTAATTGACCATAACATGTCTGACCAAACAGTAATCATTTTCATGCTTAGATTTGTACACTTTAGCTTCATAATTTAAAATTAGCATGCAGAGCCCAATAAAGTCCAGGTGTTAAAGTACTGTCCAAACAGGGAGAAGGAAGTCAACATCACTTAGTTTTGATTGTATCATAAGATACGTGTTTAAATTTTAAAATTAATTAACAATTTTGGCCAATTTCCAAATAAGCTGTGTATTTTCCCCCAATACTATTTAATTTCACCCTACAACACCAGTAGGTGGCCACCAAGAAAAATCAGTAGAAGAAGAAAACCGATGCTGACCGTAGAAGAAGAAAGAGCAGCTAGCTAGCTGTTAGCTTCCCGCTGCTGCAGCTTCTCTGTCTTCAGATCATCATGGTCCAACTGGTGGGCTCCCTCCGTAAAGAGCTGGCGGACTCTCTGTCCAGCTGTAAGGTCCTGGTGGTGGGAGCAGGAGGGATCGGCTGTGAGCTCCTGAAGAACCTGGTCCTCACCGGCTTCAAGAACATCGAAGTGGTTTGTTTGGTTTTTTACTTGTGCTGGAGAGCCGGTTAGCATGTTAGCTAAGCTAGGTCTTTGTGCGGCCTCGGGACTGATTCCTGAGACGTGGGTTTTCAAAGACCCCATGTTTACTTTGGTTTTATGTCTGCATTTAAAAATTGTATGTCCTGGGCTTTAAGCTGCATGAGTGTGAATTATATTTATATGTTATAAAGAAGAATATTTGGCGCCACTATCACTGCTAATTAGCTAGCGGCTCATTGACCGGTAATGGTTTATTTCCAGCGCAGATAAACTGTCCGCAGATCTCCTGATTTTATCGTGTTTTCAGCTTATTAAGACATTATTTCATGGTAAATCCTACACTGTTATATTCATTGTGATTCCTCACATAGTAAGCTTTAAATTTAATTTTAACCACATTACCCCCAAACAACCAGCTTCAATAAGAAGCAGCTAAAATGAATTAAAAGTTCTCACTAGTTCAGGATAATGACTCTAAATGAACATTATTTTATTTAAACACCACGTTAGGTTAAAAGTAATTCAGTTTCTGTTAAAAATGATTAATTAATTGTTGCAGCTTTAATGAGGCACAAATGAGAAATAAACATAAACAAACAGCAGTTTAGTGCATTTGCTTTAACTACAGGAATGTTAAACGACATGTTGATTTAAATTCCTTTTGATTCCTGCAGATCGACTTGGACACGATCGATGTGAGCAACCTGAACCGTCAGTTCCTCTTCCAGAAGAAACATGTTGGTAAATCCAAAGCACAGGTATGTGAGCTCCAGAGGTTTTAGTCTCGTTGTGTTTAAGACCAGATATGAAGGTTATTGATGTGTGTTTGGTTCTGATGGTTTCAGGTGGCGAAGGAGAGCGCCCTGCTGTTCTGCCCCAGTGCGAACATCACAGCCTACCACGACAGCATCATGAAGTGAGTTTCCTTTATTTTTAATCCGATTTTATCAGGAGGTGTTTTTCACCACAGTTGTTATTGTTTCTTCCTCAAACAGCCCTGATTACAACGTGGAGTTCTTCAGGAAGTTCATGCTGGTGATGAACGCCCTGGATAACAGAGGTATCCTCACATCACTGCATCGTTCAGACATTCCTGTTGCTCCAGGTTGTTTCCAGTTGACTGAAATAAATAAATAAAATATTCCCTCCTAGCTGCTCGGAACCACGTGAACAGGATGTGTTTGGCTGCTGACATCCCTCTGATCGAGAGCGGCACTGCTGGATACCTGGGACAAGTCACCGTCATCAAAAAAGTGCTTTTCTTTCAAAAATACAACAAAAACATTGAATTAATTAGTTTTAAAGCTGATGGTTTTTCAGCACGAGGACGATGACTGTGTTTCCTGCAGGGACTGACTGAATGCTACGAGTGCCAACCCAAACCCACCCAGAAGACCTTCCCAGGCTGTACGATAAGAAATACACCGTCTGAGCCCATTCACTGCATCGTCTGGGCCAAGTACCTCTTCAAGTAAGGCTCTTCTTTTTTTATAATGTACGTTCACTAGTGTGGAAGTGTTGATTTAGCCTCTCTGTAATGCTGCGTTCACACCAAACGTGATTTCAGCATCAGGAGCATCAGGTTTACATTCAAAGTCTATGGTGGACGCGCTTCAAGCAGCGTCGGGAAGTGCTGTGGCGCCTCAAGCGCGATTAGAGCAGCGCGATTTGAACGATCTGAGCGTTCGACGCGTTGAGGCGCAACTCGCTGAAGTTAGAAAATCTGAACTTTTGCAGCTCGACGCGCTGCATCAACCAATCAGAGAGACTCCACTGTGTGACGTAGCGACATATTTCCCGACGGGACAGTTTACTGAATGATGTCCACTAACCTGAAACAGACGGAGAGGAGCTCTTTAGCTGAAATGAGTGCCTGCAGTCGGTGTCCTGACAGGAGATATCCTCACCAATGCGTGGCAGCGGCTCATCAGACTGGACTCGGGACAAAAATATTCCTGAAAGCGAGCTGTGAGCCTCTCCCGCAGCTCCTGGGTGATGAAACTCAGAATGTCTCTGAATTATCTGGTGAATTAATTATGAATTAATTATCTGATGAACGTGACATGCTCTTGCTCTCTGCAAATAAAACAAAGCCACTTCCTGGTCCGACATTAAACAGAGCCCGACAGAGGAGGGAGGGGCGGGGAGGCTGTTGCCGTGCAGCGCTTCAAGAGCTGACCTGCGTCTGACCTCAAAGTGCACAAGCGACCAACTTCAGCGTTGGCTGCGATTTTGAAGCTGAAATCACGTTCGGTGTGAACGCAGCATCAGTGTACAGCTACGATATGTCTGAAAGTCGCAGCTTCCTGTTGTCGACCTCACGGTGTTTGTTGTGTTTGTAGCCAGCTGTTTGGAGAAGAAGACGCAGACCAGGAAGTGTCCCCGGACACGGCGGACCCTGAAGCTGCATGTGAGTGGACGCAGAGCGTGTTTCATGATGCATACATGGAATAAATCTCAGTTTACGTCCCGTTTTTCCCTCCTGACGTCATGCTTTGTGTGCCGGGTCAATCAGGGAAGCAGGTAGAGACGCTCCATCACCTCTGCTCTGTGTTTTCTGTAAACAGGGAACCCTGAAGAGACGGCGGCTCGAGCCACGGCGTCTGAGAAGGATGGAGATATCAAACGGGTTTCCACCAAAGAATGGGCCAAATCAACTGGATACGATCCGGTTAAACTCTTCAACAAGGTACCGGCCTCTCAGATCTGCTTCATTCACTGGCTGCTTATAAAAATATCACCTGTTTTTCTGATCTGCTGCTGAACTACATTAATGTTTCGATTTATATCCTGATGCATCTCAGTAATCCAGGTAAAAAATCAAAAGGAAAAAAATTTATATAGGTCTTCTGGACGGGTTCTTCTCTAATGAAACGTTTCGTCTCTCCTCCAAGAGACTTCTTCAGTCTGAGAGATTCAGGCTTTTGAGTCCTGCCTCCATGTGACTGATACTCACATCACATGGCTATCGTTCACACCTAATTAACACCTATTCTTAACAGGGGGTGGAGTGATACTGCCAATGGCAGCGCTGTAGGACGTGGACAACTGAAAACGGAGGCCTCCACCTCTGTTTAATGATGGACGGTCTTTCTTTACAAAAATGGCTTCCTTTACTCCTCTCTCAAACCAACGTTCCTCTCTATCAAGAATGAGAACATCCTCATCATGGCTCAGATAAGGGGTGCCACTGAGCCATTTGTTCAGATATGTTGACGACACCTGGGTTAAAATTAAAGCCCAGGAAGTCCAACATTTCACTGATCACATCAACTCTGTGGATGAATATATTAAGTTCACACGAGAGGATGTAAAAAATGGCAGGTTGGCGTTCCTGGATTGCGATGTCTCGGTTTCGGATGGAGGACGGTTGGAAACTGGCGTGTATCGTAAGCCCACCCACACAGACCAATATTTGCGGTTTGACTCCCACCACCCACTGGAACACAAGTTAGGAGTGATCAGGACTCTGTACCACAGAGCAGACAGTGTCCCTACAAACCCAGGAGCCAGGCAGAAAGAGAAATCACACACATGACAGGCCCTGGCCGACAGACCTAATTAATACCTATTGTTAACAGGGGGTGGAGAGATACTGCCAACATGATGTCCCAGTTAGCTTTCAAACCCCAAAACACATTACGGCAAAGGCTGGTTCACCCCAAAGATCCGGTGCCCTGACACAAACAGAGTAATATTGTATATGCTGTTAAGTGCCAGGAGGACTGCGACCAGTTATACATCGTGGAAACAAAGCAGCCACTGTTCAAAAGAATGTCCCAACACAGACGAGCTACATCTAATGGCCAGAACTCTGCAGTTTTCACTCATTTACAGGCCAGCGGTCACTCTTTCAGAGATGAGGATGTTCTCATTCTTGATAGGGAGGAACGTTGGTTTGAGAGAGGAGTAAAAGAAGCCATTTTTGTGAAGAAAGACCGTCCATCATTAAACAGAGGTGGAGGCCTCCGTTTTCAGTTGTCCCCCTCCTACAGTGCATTGGCAGTATCACTCCACCCCCTGTTAACAATAAGTGTTAATTAGGTGTCAACGATAGCCATGTGATGTGAGTATCAGTCACATGGAGGCAGGGCTTAAAAGCCTGAATTTTGCCTGAAACTCTCAGACTGAAGAAGTCTCTTGGAYGAGAGACGAAACGTTTCATTAGAGAAGAACCCGTCCAGAAGACCTACACAATTTTTTTTCCTTTTGTTTCTATTTGTACTTATTTGTTTTCTGCTTCTTAAACGTTTCTGTTTGATTTAGTTAATGTTGCTTTGGTGTTCATCAGTAACATGCTCCTCTGTGATTGGCTCTCCTCTCAAGCTGTTCAAAGATGACATCATGTACCTGCTGACCATGGACAAGCTGTGGAAGAAGAGGAAAGCCCCGACGCCTCTGGACTGGCAGCAGCTGGAGAGCACAGGTGGGTTGCTTCCTTTGCATCATGTTATTAATTAATTAATCACAGAACTGCTGCTTTGACTTAGTTTGAACATTCAGAACCTTTTGGTTTTGTTCAGGATGAAATGTTGGGTCCAGTTGGAACTTTGATCTGATTTAAAGCTGGTTTTAGACTGAAAGAAACTAAACTTTGGTTTATTTTGTTTTTGTTTCTGTCTTTAACTAATGCAGTCTAGGGCTGTGTGGTACATGCAGCAGACAGTAGAAACCGTATGAAGTTGGCCTACAGTAGAAATTTACCCTCTACCGTCCTGTCGTCATTACATCATCACACCTGTGTGAACAGGGCTGCAGTGCAGAGACACCTGAGCAGGAGTTTGAAATATAATGAAGAAATTCTAGTGTTTTAAAACACGTATAGAGAGGATAAATCCTCAAACTTTCCTCCTCCCGCTGTAGAAAAGTTACGTCGTGTCGCAGGATAATTCCCCCCCCCCGCTGCACGTCACGCAGAGCGAAGTTTTAACAGCTGAAGTTTTTCACACCCAGTTGTCAGAGAAAAAACTTGTTTTTATGTATTGTTTCCCACAGAGATGATTAAAAAAAGACGTGGACGTTCGTTCAGTCATAAATCCATCTTGCTAATGTAAAGTCGGCTTCTGTTCTGATGATGATGAAGATGAGCGCAGAGCAGCAGCAGGCAGAAGCTCACTGTTTGGCAGGCAGATATTAAAGAAAAAACGTTGGGTTTAATTAAGATTACAGATTTCTGCAAAAATGCTCTAAAAATGACATTATCTTATTTATGATAACTTTCTACCACGATATATACCGTTACTGTGAAGGGGTTCAACTTATACCCTGATATGAATTTGAGGTCATAACGCCCAGCCCTGAAGAGATTAGATCTTTATTTATTTATTTATTTATTTATTTATTTTATGATATTTTATTTTATTTATTTAACCCTTGAAAAGAGTTCCACAAACCTTGCAGTTCTCTGGTCTCAAAGTGCTGTTAGTTTAAATAAATTAGTTTATTCAGTTTATTTCATTCATAAAAACAAAACAATCTACATACAGTAAAATAAAAAAAAAAGTAATTCATGCCACAAATGAAAATCATCTTTTATCTGAACCTTATTTTCTGTAAACAAACTTAAAAGTTCAATAATCTTCTTATTATAAAAGAAAACAACAACATCAGATATCTTTGTATCTTATTTCCATTAAATACTACAGACGGTATAGTTTCTCAATAATTTTGACTTAATCTTTTTTTTTAAACATTATTATTTTAGAGGTTTTTATAATGATAGTGAGACTATTGGACAAACTCCAGAGCATCACTGAAACTGGTGACGGGACAAACAGAACTCACCTCTGATCTGTTTGGAGGCTCAGACCTCAGGTGATGAAGACCACAGGGTTGTTTTTGGTAAACTTCTAGAAGAAAATGAACCCAACTAGTTAATAACGGTGCAAACTTTCATGTGTGGACGAAAAAAATCTAAGAGTTGGAAAAAATACTTCAGTATGGATCTAAAACCTAAAAGCTGTTACTAATAATGACTTCTTTCTTGTAGTGCGTCCTCAGGAGGAGGCTCCAGCTTCAGGCTTGAAGGACCAGAAGGTTCTGGGTGTTTGGGGTTACTGCCAGATGTTCCAGCAGAGCGTGGAGACCCTCCGCTCACAGCTGCAGGAGAAAGACGAGGGCGCCGAGCTCGTCTGGGACAAGGTAGACCGAAACCCAGTTTCTGCAGCTGCAGTTCCTCCTGGAGACGCTGACTATTAAACCCTTCCTCTGTCTCAGGATGACCCTCCTGCCATGGACTTTGTGACGGCAGCAGCAAACCTCCGCATGCACATCTTCAGCATGAACATGAAGAGCCGCTTTGATGTGAAGTGTAGGTTTGAAGATCTGACTTCCTTTAGGAGCAAACTGTCAGTCAGGCTTCAGTTTGATTTGTTTATTTATTTATTTATTTATTTATTTATTTATTTATTTATTTATTTATTTAATGATTTCTTCCAGCGATGGCAGGAAACATCATCCCAGCCATCGCCACGACCAACGCTGTTATTGCAGGCCTCATCGTGTTGGAGGGGCTGAAGATCCTCTCCGGGGAGCTGGAGTCCTGTCGCACGGTGAGTCCAGCGCCCCCCGGTGGTCAGAAGTCTGAGGTGTTTTTTTTTTTTTTTTTCAAACTTCACACAAATCTGGACTTCAGGTCTGGTTTTTAGCTCCTCAGTTGCTCATTTTAAATACAACTAGAGAAAAGCATTTCCTGTGAAAATGCTAGTGTGAGTACTTCTTCCTGCAAAACTTGAGCTGAAAGCTGCCGAGTATGATCTGAAAATATTTTATGACAAAATTTTATTGCAATTTCAAGATGAAAAGATGAAAGAAGCAATAAAAGCCAAAAACAATAAAAAAGGAGCAAAAATATAGCTGAATATTGCAGAAAAAAGCTTAAAGCTAAACGTTAAAATAGCTGAATTTAGCAGAAAGCAACTGCAAGAACCATAAATAGCAGAGAGGTGCAGAGGTTTAGCTGAAATGGCAGAAAAAAGCTAACATTAGCAAAAAAAAGTAGCTAAAATTGGCACAAGGAGCTTAAAAAGGGCAAAACCAGAAGAAAATATGTGAGGTTCTGTAAAGATTCAGAAACATTTAGAAGAATTTTAAGGTTGTTGAAAGAACTCCATTTTCAATGAGAAAAAGTGTCTGAAAAAGTAATAATTAGCTGAAATACTAAAAGTCATAGCTGGAATGTCCTAAATCAGCTGAACCTTTTGATGTGTGAATTGTTGAAATAGTAGAAAAGTTGTGGAACGAGTTAAATGCTGAAAAACGTACAGAAGAAAAACTGATCAGTAGTGAATAATTGTGAAGCGTTTATAAAATAATGTGTAAATCTGATGTATGGTTGAGAACAGAATGATCCAGGAGTTTAAATAAACTTTAATCTAAATAATCAGTCGCTGTAGACGGCTGGATCAGTCTGTCATCATAACAAAGTGTGAAATATTAGGTTTTTTTTGGACAAGATCAACCAAATTCTGCCCAGAAACCAGATCAGGTTCATGTTTCTTCACCGTCTTATTCATATTTTTGTTTGTCTTTTCTACATTTCCCTTCTTCTCTCTCAGCTGTTCTTTCTGTTTGGCTGCTTTTCTTTGACGTTAAGTTTTAATTTAGTTTATTACTTTATTAAAAAAAAATTTAAAAACCTATAAACATTAAAAAAATACAAATAAAAATCAGCAGAAAGAAGAATAAATATTATCTGCACCTTTTTCCCAAAAAATAAATTCAAACAATAAATAATCTACAAATAAAAACTTCAACTCCTCGAGCAACAGTTCTACAGATCCACATTACCCCGTTTATTGTTTTATATTTCTGTAACAAACTTTAATCTGACATCAATCTCCAGATTATTCCATAATCTTTGTCCTTGGATTCAAGAACACCGCTCCTTCAAACTGCTTCTAAATTTAGTTTTTACAAACATCACTGTCCTGTTGAGATAATAACAACTCTCTCTCTTTTAACAGAATTTAAAGATAACTGTTTTATGAGCCTGTAAAATATAATCAACCAACTCATTTTATTACAATATTTTCAGTTGATAAAATAATATATTTGATGGTGACTGTAATGTTTTCTGTAAAATAAAAAAAGGATTTGTAATTGTTTTACATGCTTTCACCCAGACTTCAAAAGATGAAGTATGAAACAATTATTGTATTATATAACATAAACAGAGCTTTATCATTGAATAACTCCTTCACTTTATACAATACTGCAATAGATTTACTATTTTTTTATTCCTAAGTAACCGATGTGAGGTTTCCATGTCAGCTTTTCACACAAATCAAGGACTGTACCAGGTGTCATGTTCTCCTGCAGATCTTCCTGAACAAGTGTCCAAACCTCAGGAAGAAGCTGCTGGTGCCGTGCATCCTGGACCCGCCCAGCTCCGGCTGCTACGTTTGTGCCAGCAGGCCTGAAGTCACCGTCAAACTAAACGTCCAGAAAACCACGGTTCTCTGCCTGCAGGACCGGGTAAGGAGAACCGGAGCAGAACGCTGCGTCGGTTCTGGAGTTAACCCTTTAAATCCTGCTGGAGTCACAGAAGAACACTCTGGTTCCTCTGGTTTCAGATCCTGAAGGAGAAGTTTGGGATGGTCGCTCCAGACGTGCAGATCGAGGACGGCAAAGGAACCATCCTCATCTCGTCAGAAGAAGGAGAGACGGAGGGTAAAAAAGAGAAACTCTTCGTTTTGTTTGTTTGTTTACTGTTGTCCTCACTTTTCCACTCTGCACCTTTTTATTTCTTCCCAGCCAACAACTCCAAATTCCTGTCTGACTTTGGGATCCGTAACGGCAGCCGTCTCCAGTCTGACGACTTCCTCCAAGACTACACGCTCCTCATCAACGTCCTGCACACGTCTGTTCCTCAGGTCACGCCATGACATCATCACCACGCTCTGTATGATCCTAAGGCTTCGTGTCTCTCTGTCCCGCAGAGAGGAGCTCGAGCGGGACGTGGAGTTTGAGGTGGTGGGCGAGGCTCCGGACAAGGCTCCGCCCCCTCAGAGTAACCAGGAAGAAGTGAACAACATCACCAACGGCAACAAAGACTCCGCCCAGCCGTCCACGTCTTCTAAAGGTGGGCTTCACCGCTCCGGTAAACCCAAATAACTTCAAAGTTAACCTCCCATGGCCCTGGTACCGGGGGCAAAACAGCATTTCCTGTTTTCTATTTCTTTTAACTTCTGTTAACCTAAGATCTCTAAGTTGAACCTGGACATGTTGGATATCAATAGAAACCTAAGAATCTTATCTACAAGCTCATGGAAACTTTTTATATTCACCAAACAGTTCAAATGACAGGCAGGCATGGTCTGTCCTGTGCAGAATGATAAAAAATACTAATAATTTCTTTACTAAAACCTCTGTAACTTTGCTCCAGTTAATTTTAGCAGCATGAATCTTTGCACAGGTGATGTTCACAAGTGGGTTCATGGTTTCCAAGAGTTTTAGCCTGATTCATTATGGTTTTAAATGGGTTATATACTGTCTAATGCAAAAATTATTCAGACGGGAGGGAAATTATCAGACTATCGGCCAATTTCTGTTCTTCCTATTTTTTCTAAGTTACTTGAAAAAACATTATTTAATCAACTACTTCAGCATCTAGATGCTAATAATATGCTAAGCAATAGCCAACATGGTTTCCGCACGTCAAGGTCAACCATGTCTGCATTAATTTTATTCACTGAACAAATACGTGCTGCTTTGAACAAAGGTCCAGTAACTGGTGCTGTATATATTGATTTCCGTAAAGCGTTTGACACAGTTGATCATTATACTCTCTTACAAAAGTTGATTTCTTTTCAACTTTCATCATCTGCAATACAAATGTTTTCCTCTTATTTGACTGATAGGTGTCAGGTTGTGAAACGGAAGCTCTGTGTCTGGGTCTCTGCCCTGTTCTGTGGGAGTTCCACAGGGTAGCATACTGGGCCTATTGCTTTTCCTATTATACATAAATGACCTTCCAAAAATATTAAAGTATTCAAATATTTTAATGTATGCTGATGATACTGTTCTTTTTTTGTCTGATTTCAATATTGAATCTATTAATAGTCAGTTACAAGCGGATCTTCAGACATTTCATGGTTGGCTTCAAGATAATCTTTTGTCAATTAATGTTAAAAAAACTGTGTGCATGTATTTTTCCTCACCCAGGAGACATTTCAATATAACAAATCAACTCATTTTTTTAAACAAACCCCTTGATATTGTCACTACCTACAAATATCTTGGAATTACTTTGGATTCTCATTTGACTTATCGTGATCATGTACAAGACTTAACCACTAAGTTGAAACAGAAATTATACGTTTATTCAAAAATTAGATCCAATCTGACATCTTCTGTTTCAAATATCTATCTTCATGCCATTATACTGTCAACCATGTCGTCCTGTTTACCTGTTTGGTCTCTTACAACAAATGAAATCTTAGAACCCATAGTTAGGCTCTACAACAGGGCCTACAGAATTCATAAAACACTTCCTGGTTGGACTCATCACTGTACAGTTCTTTCATTGTCTGATGCCTTGACTTTTCAGAATMATGTTTTGTATAGTGGTATTAATTTATATTTTCAGATCTTCCAAGGTGCCAATTATGGAACTCTCTGTGCATTGTTGCCCAAATCAAATTCTGGAAGTGGTCATTCAACTAGATCTGTTACAAAAGGACAACTGACATTACTAACTTTTAAAAACTGTTACGGCCAGAGGTCTTTCTTCTATGTTTATACTAAAGCATGGAATGACATTCCTCAAAACATAAAGTCCATTTCAAAACTACAGCCCTTTAAGAAGAATCTCGTCTGCCATCTGCTGGACACTTTTTGTTGTGCTCATATTTAGACATCCTATTTTGCAAATGCTGCCTTTTTTAAATTTGGTATGCTTGTTTGTCTTTGTGTCTATGGTGTATAATGATGTGATTGTGATGCTGTAATTCTGAGTGTTTTATGTGCTGCAGAACAGGAACCTGCTGTAAAACAGCAATTATGCTGAGTCAGGCTTGATTTTTAATCATCTTTTCCTGTTAAATCAATAAATCAAATCAAATTATTTTAAAATATGTTCAATTCTCAATATCTCTAACACAATAACAGCTGTTTTAATATTTATACTTAATAAAATCTCCGAAGTGTTGCTTTATTTTGATACCAAGAATATTTAAGTAGAGTTAGTAAAAGCTGAGATACTCAGTTACGTTTCTTCATGGGATTTCGAGCAAAAACATCAAGAACACCTCTTGGGGCTGAAGAGGTTAAAAACAAATGTTTGTGAAATGAAACAATATTTTTGTTCCGCCTCAGCTGCAGCGGAGGACGATGACGTCATGATTGTGGAGTCTGATGAGGAGGAAGTTGCATCATCCAGCTCCACAGCAACCACCGGCACCAAGAGGAAGCATCCGGACTCAGAGACCGGCGAGTCCTCCATGAAGCGCCCGCGCACGGACCAATCAGGAGCAGCTGATGACGATGATATCATCGCTCTGGACTAAAAGGCCAGCTCGGTCCGTCTGATGGACTTATTTTTATATAAATTCTTGTTCTTTGACTCCAGACAGACAGTAGGATGAAATAAAACAAGTGTTTAATGAAGAACATTTCCCTCCGCGGTTCATCTTTCTTCACTTTTCTCTGTTTTCTTTTCTGTTTTTCTGTTTTCACGCTCATGTTCTGATGATACACGGCGCTGTAAATAGTCTGCATTCTAGACGTTTTTTAAAAAGTGCTGTTCACTTTTTATCTGAAGTCGTTTAAGTTCCTCAAATGCTTCTTGATGGTTAAAAAGAGCTTTTTTTGTTATATTTTTTTATAAATGTACTGTATTTTCATGCTACACTAGTGAGTGTTTTGTGAAGTTTTTTCTTTTTGTAAAAAAAAAAAAAGAAAACATTTGTAGAGGAGGTGAACCGACAGAGCTTTGTAGTTCTGGGTTCTGCCTGTAAGAACCGGTACTGGTCGGTCCAGTTCTGCACGGAGCAGCAGGTGGAGATGGTTTTTGCCAAGAGGTTTTATTTTCTACCTCTTCTCCATGATTGGCGAGTTTTATTTCTCTAATCTGTAGCCTGTCTCTCTGAAGATCAGAACGTTTGTTACTGTGTGGAGCCACAACACGTTCTGTTCGCTTCGTAACATGTTTCAACGAGAACAAAGAGGAACGTTTGTTAAAAACGGACCCAGATGGTTCGGTCCAACATCAGGGAGGGGTTGGACTTCAATACCAGAAGCACAGTGTGGCAGTTATTCTCCAATCTGTGGTTTTCATCGTTTTCTGTTTATTTTTTGTTTTTGTTTTTGTTTTCATCCAACTTGAAAGTTTGTGCAAAACTTTTGGACCAATTTCATGAAGACAATAAATGCAGCCAATTCAGAGGATTTATTTTGTTCTCTTCACTCTGTCCTGATCCGTTTTTTTTTTTTTTTTTAATCTCCAAACGTCACAAAACTGTAAACAACTGAGGAATTTTATCATTTCCTCAGGAGCTCAACTCTTCAACATCTTTACTGGTTTTGACTGGTGTGCAGCTGCAGCTCCTCATGTTGGTCGTATAAACACACAAACGTTATTAAAGCATGAACAGGGCGTGGTTCACACAACAGAACACAATGTTCAAAAACCTGAACCAGAGCCATCCTCTCACAACAAACACAAAGGATTTTTAAAAGAACGATATGTTTACACACGAAGACTTTTCACCTCATCAAACCAATTGTTAACAGAGCCAAACCTTGTTTACCTTTAATCATCTCCTTACAGCTCATTAAACCAGTGGTTCCCAAACTTTTTGTCTTCTGACCCACAAAATATTCACGGCAAAAACTTGTGACTCCAAATATTACTGGTCTGAGTACATGAACTTCGTTAATAAACCTAAAAACACAGGCTTTTTGACAATCTAAACAGCTTGTACACAAATATAAATACTTATTTATACTTATTTTGTGTTTTTGTAATAGTTATAGGGAAAATATTACATCAGCAATTATTTAATTAACCTTTAAATTGATTTCTGGAGATTATCCAAGGTGCTTCATGACCCATAATTGGGTCCCAAGCCCAACTTTGGGAACCAAAGTGCAGTGGTTCCCAAACTTTTCAGCTTTTGACCCACAAAATAACAGCAGCAGAGACCTGTGCCCACAACTATTTTTGGATGATAAACATTTGTATCAGGTCAACTAAACATGGGCATAGTAACAATATTTTTTATACTACATTTATCCATTTTAAATACACTAACCTCACTCCTTTGTAACAAATAAGGCAAAAATGTAATTAATTCAGAAAATCTTTTCAGGACCCCACTTTGGGTCCCGACCCCAACTTTGGGAAATACTGCATTAAACCAACAACCTTGAACTTTTTGTAAACAAAAACACAACTCTTTATCTGAGTTGTGACATATTTGTGACGCAACGAGTTTTTTACAAACGAGCTTTGACAATGTGCTTCGGTCAAATCAAAAAGTCAGATTTTTATTCTTTCAGGTCAGTAAATATGTGAGTGCTCAGAAACTAAACAAATTCATAAAAACATGTTAAAAACATTAAGATTTCAAAACATGTTAAACCCAGTTTTTGGCGCATGATGTGTTTGTTTAAACAACCTTTGGGACAAAGTTCTTTGGATGTTTAGTAGGTCAAAGGTCAAACCAGGACAGCTAGAAAAATAAATGACACAAGTGAGGTTTGTTTGTAGAGGCCACAGCAGAAAACCTCTTCTCTAAAAACACGAACCTCTGGACAGATGTTTACGAGTTTTCTGTTAGCCTAGCCTAGCCTAGCCTTGACCTCTCCACTCTGAGCTCTGACATGTTGATAAAACCTCAATACTGATAAGTTTTAGACAAAACATCACTTCAGGGTTGATTAAATTATCTGTTTCATGAGTTTAAAGCACTTCCATTGTTCCAACAGTGGGATTTATTTTTATTTAAAGTAGTATTACTGTTTGTTTCTGCCATGTTTAAACTAAATGAATGCTGTGATTGGTTTTTCAGCAACTTGTACTTTTTTAGCTACTTAGCTTTTTTGTCCACTTTTTTTCTCATTAAAACTAAAAGAACTGTTTTAACCTTAAAACTCTTTAAAATGCTCATAAATCTTTACTGCTCATTTTAACTTTTGTTCTGCTTCTTTATGCTAATTTCAACCATGATTAAGTTTTAAATTTTAGCTTTTTTCTGCAGTTTCAGCTATCTTTCTGCTCCTTTCTTTATTATTCTGCAAGTTTCTATTTTTTATTTTTTCTGCTAATTTAAGCTGGGTTTTTTTGCATTTTAAGCTACCTTTTAGTTGATTTCAGATAATTTAAGCCTTTTTCTATTAACTTTATTTTTTATGATTTCAGCTTCTTACTGCTTATACATCAGCATATTTAGTTTAGTTTAGTTTAAAGTTTATTCATTTAAAAACAACACAAATTCAACATACAACAAAAACACAAATTAAATTAAATGAAAGGTAGCAGAAGAAAGAATCATATAATCTCTGCCCCTTTTTTACAAACAAATTCAAAGAAAATATTCTTCAATTTACAGTAAACATAAATAACAATTTTCTATTAAAAACATACAAATTTTACATACAATAAAGACAATATCAAAAATAAAATGCAAGGCAGCAGAAAGAAGAAAAAATCCTAAAATATCTGCCACTTTTTTAAAAGAAAAAATTAAATAAAAAAAATTAACCCTTAAAACAACAATAATCCTCATCAATATTTATGCCAGCATATATGCTCTGTGCTGTTTTAGCTTTTTGAGCTTTTGTATTACAAATTACAACTGTTTTGTGCTTATTTTTTTCTGCTGATGTCAGCTTCTTCACTCTTTTTACTATCTGTCGGCTAAATCCATCATGTTTCTGCTGTTTTAGCATGTTTTCGCTATTTTTTCTACTGATATTTATTTATTTATCTTTTCATACTTTCAGACAATGTTAGTTGTTAAAATTAAACTTATTAACGTGGTTTTTTTCAGCAATAAGCATTCATGGTGCATTTTCACAGGACAGGAGTTTTGTTGTCACTTGTTCTGAGCTTCTTCTTGTGTTGTGTTGTTGTGTTGTTGTGTTGTGTTGTTGTCTTCTTGTGTTTATCATTCCACTGGAGTTCCATCAGCTCCACTGTTTTGTTCCTGTCTGTTGTCATGTTGTTGATAACGCCCCTCAAAGAAGCGCTCTGATTGGTGGAAATAACAAGCCCCGCCCCATCCCCCCTCCGGGCCCCGCGGCTGTTCCACAGACCCGTTGGGAGGGCTGGTTTTTGGTTAAAAAGGGGTTAAAGGAAGCAGGTTTTACGTAAGAGCTCCAGGTGAAGTGGTTGTTTGTCTTTACGGGGACATGTTGGACGTGTTTCCCCGCCTCCAGACGAACAGGAGGGCGCGAGGCTGAACAAAAAGCGTCCGGATGCTGCGCTGTTCGGAACAGTTAGCTAACTTCAGCTCGGAGTCCGGTTGGAAGCTAGCCCCGCCGTCCTGCTCAGCGGAGCGGCTCGTTGTGACCCGGCAGCTCCGGTTTCAGTCCCGCTGAAGATGGTGGCTCTCTCCGCGGCGGTGGTCCGGCCGCTGGTGGCCCAGCTTCACCGGCAGCTCGTCGGGAGCCACCGGGTAACGCCCGTCAGGAGATGCAACCTCACGGCGTGCTCCAGCAAGAGTGAGTACCGATACGGTTTTTATTTTAATTTTTCATGGACAGGACCGTTCAGTCACGTGATTCTCCAGATGGATCATCTCCATGCACGATGCTGCTAAAGCCCTTTACCTATTGCTCTATTTTACAACATTAAAACTCACAAATATAAGCTTTTATTGCCTCATCTCTTCTGTTTTTATCTTTGCTGTGTGTGTAGCTGTGTGTGTAGCTGTGTGTGTAGCTCCTGCACCAGAACATGTTCTGGACCAGAAACTGCAGATCAGATGTTCAGCTTCACGTGTTCTGAGTCGATCCAACACGTCATAAATGTTCCTGCTGTCACACACCTGAGCAGGTCGAACAAGTCTCTCATCCAACTGTTCAACACCCAGCTTTTATTACTAAACCCACAGAGAACAAACACAACGCGTTGATGCAACTAAAGTCCTGCTAAGCTGCGGCCAAAATCATTAAAGTTAAAGTTTAACAAGTGTCACGAGCTTACCAAAGCAAACCAGAGGATTTTAAGGCTGTTTAAGCTGTAATCTGAGATTATTTAGTCATTTTATTCTCCACAAATAACCCAGAGACATGGAGACATGAGAGGTTTGCTCCTGTTTCAACACGTCTTTTTTTAGATGACGTGTGCACTCTATTCCCTCAGCTCAGTCTATCAGGTAGGGTTTAGTTATTGCTCTAAAGCCGGGCTATTCAATTAAATTTCTCCGGGGGGGGGGGGGGGGGGGGGGGCAGTTACTGCAGGCCAACAGCTGAGGGGCTGAACATCCAGCAGTTTAAGTCATTATGTAAATAAACCAAGTATTACAAAGAGCTGTTACCTTTTGAAATAGTTTATTTTGAGCATTTAATCATGAATACAACATACAAAACCCTATAAAAGTAGTGATAATTACACATTATCAAAAAGAAAAAGAACACATTCTGCCTTCTATTTGACACAAATTTTATTTTGACATCTGACTTGCCAAATTTTTAAACCAATTATATTTTCACTTTCATAGTTTTATCTTCAACTGCTTGTAGTTTTAACTGTCTTGAGTGTTTATATAAATGTTTTTTTTTCTTACGTTTCTTTAGATATTACACATGTCTGTGTTTAGCTAAAATAACAGAGTAATTAAAGTAGAAACTGTGTGTTTGGGTTTAAGAGGTGAATGAACCAATTGGCGGGCCGGACTTTGGTCACCAATTGACCAGTCCTGCTCTAAAGACTAATAACTTTTCAATACATTCATTCATTTATCTTTTAATTAGCTATTTATTACCCTCAGCCGAAGGTGTTTGTGCTCGTGGTTCTGTTCATTACCATACTGTTAAATATCCCATAAATCAAGGAGCAGGGTTTAATGAAACTGTCAGACAACAATAATCGTGTTTCCATCCAGTTGTAGTGAATTTTTATTGAACTTTTCAAAATTCGCAAAAAAATAAAAAAATAAAAATTTGAATCTAGACTGTTTCCATCTAGTTTCCTTCTTGGTAAATGGACTGTACTTATATGGCGCCTTTCTATCCATCCAGGACACTCAAAGCTCTTCACACTACAGACATTCACCCATGCACACACTGATGATGGTAAGCTACACTGTAGCCACAGCTGCTCTGGGGCACACTGACAGAAGCGAGGCTGCCATACACAGGCGCCACCGGACCCTCTGACCACCATCAGTAGGCAAGACGGGTAAGATGTCTTGCCCAAGGACACAACAACTGGGTCAACTGGACAGGGATCGAACCGGCGACCTTCTGGTTCCAGGACAACTCCCCTAACCACTCTACAACAGCCGACCCACACTGTTTGATGCGAATAAATGAGGCTACGCAACGCGTGATTACGTCAGACGAGGCTACGCAACGCGTGATTACGTCAGACGAGGCTACGCGACGCGTGATTACGTCAGACGAGGCTACGCGACGCGTGATTACGTCAGACGAGGCTACGCGACGCGTGATTACTTCAGACGAGGCTACGCGACGCGTGATTACGTCAAACGAGGCTACGCGACGCGTGATTACGTCAGACGAGGCTACGCGACGCGTGATTACGTCAGACGAGGCTACGCGACGCGTGATTACGTCAGATGAGGCTACGCGACGCGTGATTATGTCAGACGAGGCTACGCGACGCGTGATTATGTCAGACGAGGCTACGCGACGCGTGATTTCGTCAGACGAGGCTACGCGACGCGTGATTTCGTCAGACGAGGCTACGCGACGCGTGATTTTGTCAGACGAGGCTACGTGACGAGTGATTACATCAGACTACGGCGACAAAATTTCGGTAGTAAACAGGAAGTGAAAATTACTAACTAGCAGAGGCTAATCATCTCGGACAATGGAGCAATTTTTTTCGTGAATGCCTTGCTATTGGGAAAGTTGTAATTATTCTATCTATTCAGCTAGTACAGGCTATGTCTAACGCTGCCAGGAGATGTAGGGAAATAAACGCAATGTTTTCGCGCATTTATGATAACATCCGGGACGAGGCAGAAAAGCGGAAACAGCTGAACGTCACGTGAGGTAAATATGCGCTACGTCAGAATTTATTCGGCAAACGTGTTTCTATCTCCCGTTTTGCGCGTTATCTACTTTGCGAATCATCCAAAAACCACCTCAAGCGAGCGTAAAAACTTTTAGTGAATTGAGGATTTTTTTTTCAAATTTTGCTCTTTCCATCTGACTTTTTTTGCATTTTTAATGCGACACTTCTAAATGCGCATCAAAAAGCCTTGATGGAAACACGGTTAATCACCGGATACTCAGCTGATTAACTCAGTTCAGTTCAAGATGGCCGCCACAACAAAGCAACATTATCAAACACAACAATGACTAACTCGGTCAGTTTTATAGATGTTGAGCTAACATTAACTGCTAAATATATTTTAAAGCACAGGACCGATTTCAACAAAACTCCCAGAAATCAGCTCGATCTAAGCTGGTCCTCACAGCTGATGGAAAATGTCTGAACCTCGGTGAATTTAGCAGATACTGGGTGGTAGTAGCTGAGAGTCCTTCATAATGTTTTCAGGGTTTAATCCAAACACTTCAGCAGCATCATTTAACACGTGGTGATGTTAGTTTGAAAGGTGGCAGGTGATCCACTCATCTCATTTCTGTGGGCTTTTAAATCCTGACCCTGATGACCTCATCCTGCCTGTAAGCCTCAGATCAGGGAGAAAACCCTTCAGGTTCACTTTGTCCTGTTACGTTTTTACAGGACGTTTGACTTTTTGTTTCCTCTGGAAGATAAAAAAAAGGCTTTGCTTGCTTTTTTTTAAAGTCCTTATTTTCTGAGAGGAGCAGAGCTGCTGCTTTTTTTATTTTATTTTATTTTTTTCATTCACATCTGTAACAACCTAAATGTTTTGTTATAATCTGGTTTAAATGAGTCAGGAGAAGCTTGCAGTTTTTTTTTTTTTTGTGAGCTGTTTTTGTTTGAGCGAACAACGGTTCAGTCAGGTGGTCCGCTCCCCCAGGAGGAGCTGAAATCTGATGAAGATGAAGGTCATTTCCCAGTCGGACCTGTTCGACTGGACTCAGCAGAACTTCCTGCTGGATGAATGAGAAGAGAAAACATAAAACTTTATTTTTAATCCAGACGAGAAAACTTTTAAGCTTCTTTTTCCATTTTGAGAAAGTTTTTTATTTTATTTTTTAATTATTTTTTGTGTTTTAGAAGTAAGCGTGTTTTTGGGAGCACAGCTCCTCTGGAACCTGAGGACCTCAGAACCGCTGACGCCAGCTGGCGGTCCCGGTCCGTTTCTCGTTCTGTGGAGGAGAGCTGGGGGTGTGCCAGGACATTCAGTCTCTGTACCGCCGGCCCACTTCACTCTGCTTCAGTCACTTCCTTTAAGAGAAAAGCAGAAGGAAACACATTCACTCATTTTTTCACTCGGTCCTGTCTGAGAGCTGAGCAGAGACGTTCAGGACCGTAGAGTTGTTTCTCCGTCTGAATGGATCGTTTGAGCGCTCAGGGAGCAGAGCGCCTCATGAACTGTAGGTGTCAGCGCTCTGTTCGCTCTGAATGTTTGTTTAAAATCTGACTCTTGGTTTTTACTCCTGGTCTCCAGTGCACCCCATGTGGCAGGGACCCCTCGCCGTGCCGGGAGGGGACCGTCAGTCCCCCATAGACATCGTCGTGAGGAAGAGCGTCCTCGACACGGAGCTGAAGCCTCTGAAGACCACCTACGACCCCAAGACCTGCCAACAGATCTGGAACAACGGGTACTCCTTCCTGGTGGAGTACGACGACACGACGGACAAGAACAGTGAGTTTATTTCTGCACATCTGGAAGCCATCGCTCACAGAAATGATTTGTTCTTCTGAGGTCATGTTTCTGAAACGGTCAGTCTGGAGGGTTCTGAAGCCGTTCCTTCAGCAGCAGGAATGCATGTTTTGGTCTACATAAGAGGATTATCTCCTGCCCTGCTGCTCCCTTATGGAGCCCCCCCCCCCCATGTGTAGGGAAGTCCAGTCATCAGTCGTACGCTCAGTGCGCCACGTGGATTTGATGACGGTCATGTGACCGCAGCGTTTCTGCTGACCTCGTCAACATTTCACTTCCCTTTGAATTGCTGGTTTTAGTAAAACCAACAGGCTGTACTAAAACACATGTTTGTGGTAAAAATATGTAGTATTTATTTGTAGCTTTTTCTATAAGAGTATAACTACTTGTGTTAACGTTCAGCTGTTTTACCCTCAAAGTCAAAATGTTCAGCTCATTCAGCAGGTGTTATAGCTGTTGTTTTTATAACATGTATATTCTTCAGCTTTTCTGCTTTTAAATAAAAGATACTAAAACCCAGCAACACTTAAAAGCTAAAAGATGCTTTTAGCTAAGTGTTGCTGGGTTTAGTTTTTATCTACTGTATTGTTAAATTGAAGTTTTAGACACTTTTTTGCTAATCTTAGCTTGTAGCTATTATGTTAAATTTAGGTTTTGGCTACTGTTCACTAATTATTTGCTATTCTTTTTATAGCATTAGTGCTAATTTTAAATTTTAGCAACTTGTTTGCTAATGCCTCGTAGCTGTTGTGCTAATTTTAGCATTTAGCTACTGTTTGCTAATTGTTTGCTATTCTTCCTTTATAGCATTTGTGCTAATTTTAAATTTTAGCCACTTTTTTTGCTAATCTTAGCTTGTTGCTATTATGCTAAATTTAGGTTTTGGCTACTGTTTGCTAATAGCTTTTTAGCTTTTGTGTTAATTTAAGCTAATGTTCGCTAATTGTTTGCTATTCTTCCCTTATAACATTTGTGCTACGGTTGTAGCATTAATGTATCAATTGTGTTTGTTTTAGCTTTAAGCTACCTATCTAGTGGTTCATGAGATATTTTGCTAACAGACACACACTCAGACAGAAAAGCATGTTGAGCTGTATATTTTAACAAGGATTTGTTTCTAATGTTTAACTTCCTGTGACGAGTCGTTTATGATCATCATAAAAACATGAAACAGAACAGGAAGGTAGCTCCGCCCCTTTTTATTTCCTGGATGTTTGCAGTTGAACCACCTGATCCTCAGCAGCAGAACAAAAAGCTGATTTCTTTGGAGGATCTCTGTTGTCCTTCATTGAACGTAGAGGTAGTGGTTAAAGCTTGTGTTTGTTTGTTTGTTTGTTTGTTTGTTTCAGCGCTGAAAGGAGGCCCCCTGCAGGACACGTTCAGACTCTGTCAGTTCCACTTCCACTGGGGCGAGACCAACGACTGGGGGTCCGAGCACACCGTGGACCGACGGCTGTTTCCTGCAGAGGTACAGTGTCAGCGCACGTGCACGCACCAACACGTGCACAAACACGTGCACACACACCAACACATGCACAGTCCTGGACAAATAAAAATACACAAATACAAATAAACAACCATTTCCAGCTGGATCCCACCAGAAACTAAAGTTATTCATGTTTTATCAGCCCCTCAGGAATAACCTCTGAAAATATGAGCTTTAAGAGACACAATGATAAATATAGTTTGTTTCCTTTTTTGTTTTATAACTAAAATAAGTTAGAATTCATGTTTTGAAGCTTTTTATTTACAGCAGAAAACAGTTTAGTCATGTTTCACAGCCTGCTGCTCAGAACGATGAGTTTCCTCCACGGATCATTGAAATGTTGTAATTTATAAAGAAAACTAAAGTTATATCTGTTTGAAGGTTTTATTTAATCATTTAATTTTCAGAAAGAAGAAACAGAACCAGCTGAAGGTTTATTATCTGCAGATTTACACAGTTAGTCTTGTTTCCAGCAGCACTGGTGTTTGTTTTATTCACATTTAGATCATTGATGCTCATTAATGTTTTTATCAGGATTTAAAGCATCGACTGTGTCTTTGTGATGGTTTTATGAAAAGATCTTAGTTAAATGTTTTTAAAGTTTGGTCCTGAACTAAAGTGTTTGTCCTCAGCTCCACCTGGTCCACTGGAACGCTGACCGCTACAGTCTGTTTGAGGAGGCTGTGATGGAGGACAACGGCCTGGCTGTTATTGGAGTTTTCCTGAAGGTCAACATTATTATTATTATTATTATTATTATTATTGACGATGATGATGCTGGCTGTGAATGTTTGAGCTTTAATCCAGATTAACGTCTGATCCTCCTGTAGGTGGGAAAGAGACATGAGGGTCTGCAGAAGCTGGTTGATGCTCTGCCGACCATCAGACACAAGGTCAGCCTCACATGTTGGTGTTTCCTGTCTGTAATCAGCAAACAGAACAACTGACAGACTTTATAAATATTATTTTTATAAATATATTTTTACTGGTTTATAAACCCCTGAACATCTGAGGACAGAAAAAAATCCTCCTTAAACACTAAATTATTGCAGAATTGTTACATCTGAAAATCTGTGAAGTGACTTTTCATGGTTGTAGAGCGGCCATATTGTTCAGGGCAAAGACAACTGAACAGACAGTTCTGTTAGATGTTAAATGTGGTCACATGACATGTCCAAACTAATTTACCCCCTGTCCCTGGACGTGTCCAAACTAATTTACCCCCTGTCCCTGGACGTGTCNAAACTAATTTACCCCCTGTCCCTGGACGTGTCCAAACTAATTTACCCCCTGTCCCTGGACGTGTCTAAACCTATCTAATGCTTGGATGTTGGATGAATGTGTGTTTGATGAATGTGTGTTGGATGGATGGATGATGGATGGATGTATGTTGGATGGATTGATGGATGTATGTTGGATGGATGGATGGATGTTTGATGAATGTGTGTTGGATGGATGTTGGATGAGGGATGGATGGATGTTGGATGGATGCATGGATGTATGTTGGGTGGATGGATGTTGGATGAATGTATGTTTGTTGGATGGATGGATGTTGGATGAATGTGTGTTGGATGTATGTTGGATGGATGGATGGATGTTGGATGAATGGGCCTCATGCAAGAACTGTTCGTACACAGATTTGTTCTTAAGTTGTGCGTACGAGTGATTTAGGAGAATTTGTGACATTCACCAATGTTTTC